GGTACTGAGGAATTGAACCCAGGGCTTCATGCATGCTAGGCAGACACTCTGCCACTAAGCTACATTCCCAGCCCTGTCTCATGGACTTTCCTGCCTGGGCTGGCTTTGAACTGTGATCCTCAGATCTCAGCCTCCTGAGTAACTAGGATTATAGGTGTGAGCCACAGGTACCCAGCCTGTGTGACTCTTCTCCAGTTAGTCACAGAAAAAGCTAGAAGGAGCTTTATGGCTCAAGTGGTAGCCCACTAGCCTTGAGCAAAAAGAGTCCAGGGACAGTGCCCAGGCCCAGAGTTCAAGCCCCAAGACTATGTATGTATGTGTGGATAGATAGAAAGATAGATAGATAGATAGATAGATAGATAGATAGATAGATAGATAGATAGATAGATAGATAAAGAAAAGTAATAATTGTTACCTTTCTCCAGGTAAATTGAGGCCTGCCCCAACCAAAGTTGAAACAGCATCAGAACTGCCAAATGTTTTTCCTCCAAGAGCTCATTACAGGTTATTTACAAGCAAGTTCCCATCTTCAATCTAGGGTGAGAGCAGACATTCACTCATTGGATTATCCAGTAATTCCATAATTTTGTGGGCATTAAATGGGAGCTCAGTGGGCTGTGGATAACTAAATCTGTCAGAAAAACTAGAAACAGGAAACCACATACTAGAGCCCAATGATGTCAACAGGCCTACAAGTGGGGTGATGTGCTGCCAGTGGCTCTTGTCCACAGACGGGGGGTCCCCAAGAAATGGACCTAGTTTAGTCCCTATGAAATAGTGAACAAGAATACCCTTCCTTGATCCTCAGGTTGAAATAAAAAGAAACACATTAAAGTAGGTTTCAAAAGAAAACATATCTGCAAGAAATAAGTTAACTACTCACCAAGCGTCCTAAGTCACACCACCAACTGGGAACAGGACTTTCATCTCCTCAGGACAGCAGGCAGACACTTCTGAAAATGTGGAAAGAGCAAGACCTAAAACCACCAAGAGACACAAAGGGCCTCAAGAGTAGCCCTTGACCATCCACACTCCCTTGAAGGCTGCCTGAGCCAAGGCAGGGGGACCTCACTCTCCCGTGAAGCGGTACCTCATCCAGGCAACTCCCATCATATCATACCACCACTATGAAAAGCACACAAGAAAAACCATTTGCTTTTGTGTTTATACTCCCACTTCCGGAGAGAAGGAAAACTCACTGGTGTATATTGTTCACACTGGCTTCCTGAAGGCTTTCCTTAGACTGCCTTAAAGATGGTATATTAGAATGGAATGGCTACATGAGGAAGTGAAATATGCTGTTGCTAATGTGTCCTCATGTACATATATCAATACTTCATCTTTAGTAGAAATCACCTTACAAAGACTAGGAAGCAGGCTCTTACATTACAAACAACAGGGAGCATTGCATGATCCTGTTGGATTGGATGAGAGTTAATTTACAGACATGTGGTCACTTTTTTACCCATTAAATGCTGGGGTAGATCTTGAATCCTTGCAGCACCTACTTTAAAAAGTCCAGGGGTACCCCTAGGCCTCCTGGATGAAGAGGAGAGAGGCAGCTTCCAATGCTGATAGCAACATATATCAAAAGCATCCTGCCTTGTAGTCAGGAAGAAAGGAGGGAAAAGCAAAGGAACATCCTGGAAATATCGGAAAGCCCCAACACCCATGAGATCCTGGCTCCGGATTAGAATATGGTAAGATCATCTTCTGAGAGCCATCCTTTGCCTGGCTTGTACTCTCCTCCAACAGTCTTCCCCTGTGATGTCTCCTGCTGTGGACTGGCTGAGCATCCCCAAGGCAAAGTGTTGGTCCTGATGACATTGGGAGGTGGCAGGCTCATCAGTTTGAGCAGACAGGCTCCCTGGAGGGCCTATGACGGTTGGGGAGGTCATGTGGCAGGCCCCTGAGGGCATCTGAGCTCTCTGCAGTTGTCATTGGCTGAGGGCCTACCCCGTTCTCCACAAGAGATGCAGTAGATGAGAAACGCAGCTCATCCTTTCCTACTCCACCTCAGAGAAGCCCAGTGCCTCATTCCAAGGCCGGAGACCCAGACCTGAGCGGCCTGTCACACCAGGCTCCTGTGATCCAGTTCTCCCTTCTGTCTGACCCTTTCCTTGGGCGGCCTGGGTTGTCCTTTTCCTTTTAGCACCTCCATAATCCACCCTTTAATGTTCCTGTGTCCTGGTGGTACAGGTGTGCTCAGGATGGACTTGGGCCTCAGCTCGGCCTGGCAAAGCAACAGGCCACAGTCACATTTTCCTTTTCTAATGATGACATTCAGAAGTATTTGGGAAACAGGAATTTGCTAATTACCTGACTTACATAACTACAACCTTTCTGTACATCACCTTTATAATAGCAATTTTTAAAACTTAAAAAAAATACCTGGTAAAGTTAGTTTTCAATAGTGGTTTAAAAAACTTAGAAGGGTGATATGTAGAGAGCTTACAGTTCCATAAGTCAGGTAATGAGCTCATTTCTTTTTGGACAATGTCATTTGTCCTTTGTTCTCTCCAAGCTTTTCCCAAAAGTTGTATATGTCATTTTCAACATAGTATCTAGTGAATGCCACTGCTGCATTTGTTCACTCTTTGTCCTTCACTTTCTGTGTCCCACTTCACACCAAAGATGGGGGATTCATACTGTGCTCCAGGGAAGATGACAGGACTAGAAGGCCTTCATCACAAATGGCAGGGTGGTAACTCAGTGGACAGAGGCTGGACAGTCCCCCAGGACTACACAGGACCATGCTGCATCCCCCAAATTACCACCATCCCCTAAGGTCAGTTCTCTCTAGGGACCCTACCTGAGATTGAGGCATTTATAGTGAGGACCACCCAGGACCAAAGCCCCACAGCCCTAAGTTGAACTCCCTTCCCTACGGCCTATTCCACATAAGGACCCTACTTGATGTAGGACCAGATGGCCACTCACAATCCACATACCACCAAGCTACATCCTCATGGGCAGAGCCCACTCTTCAGAGTCTGTTCTCTCCAACTGTGGACCCTGCTCTAGACAGGAGAGCTTCAGGCTACCGGGGTGCACATGTGGACCAAGCTACCTCTTCCTACCAGCCTGTTCCCTGGGGTCTCTTCTCTCTCAGTCCACATACAGCTCCCTAAAAGGGAGCTTATGTCAGCATGAGGCCTGCCTTGATGGGGTCGAGCTGCATTTACCTCACTGGCAAAATACTTTCCTCATTAACTGGCGGCCTTCATTGACATTCTGAGATCCCCTGGTGGGGAGAGCCTTTGTGACACAGAAGGACCACAGAGGGCTGTAGTCATGTGGATTCAGTGTCCTGATCTTCAAGACAGCATTTGCCACCTGCTAGGCCTTTCTCACAGGGAGTGGGGAATCCTGGGTCAAAAAGCACTTTAGGGAGTGGCCTGGATTTCATCCACCTGTATGCAAGGGGGGTCTTAATACATTACCATTGAGGGATTCAGGTGACATACACTTCTTAATATTGGATTTTATTTTGGAGAATTGGCTTATTATCCATGGCTGCCTTTAATTTTTATCATTGTCTTATTGTTATTATAAAGGTTATTGTAAAGGGTTACAGTTACAAAAGTCAGGTTATACATTTCTTATGTGAATAATAGTCCTTGTTTCCCATCAACAACCATATATTTACCTTTACTGGAGTTCTCATTTCTTCTTTTTGAATTCCGCTGAACTTGAACCTCCACCTAAAAAAACTTCCTTCTTCAGGGCTGGTATAATAGAAGTAAAAAAACAAAAACAAAAAAAACCCAAAACCGAAAAAACATTCGTCCCTATTTGTGTCTGTGTCTGGAAGTGTCTTCATTACTTTTCATGTTTGAAGGGCAGATGTGTGAGGACGCGGTGGGCAGGATTTGGGGTTTGGTAATTTCTCTGTTTAGTGCTGACTCGAGTACATCGCTCTGGCCTCCCTTGTTTGTGATGAGAAAATTAATGATCTGGGAAACCCTGGAGGGTCTCTGTCAGCCTGGTGGATGCATGTTGAAAATAAACTGGAGTGCATGTGGTAAATGTCATGTCAGTGCATTTGATAACATCTAAAATAACGAGAAAAAATGTCTACAAAGTCAACTTAAAGCAGCAACCACCACCACACTGAAGGATGTTCAGGTTTTGGTTTGATGAAGTCTTGAACTCAGGCTCTCACACTCAAGAGGCTGACCTTCCTCCAACCACTGAATCAGGCCTGCAGCCTTTTCTGTGCTGGTCATGGTTGAGAAAGGGACTTGCTTCTGCTCTAGGCATGATCCAGAGCCTCCACCCTCCTATTTTTCACTTCCTGTCTCACCTGGGATGGCAGCCATGCCTTCCTATGTCCTCTTCTCCCCTTGACAAAGATTCTCATGCACTATTTTGCCCAGCTGGCTTCAACCTGCACAAGGAGCAGGAAGACGAACAAGAGCATTGCACCAACTAGATCATAACCCATAAAAATAGGAAACAGCAATCTACACAACCCACCTAAGAAAGAGTTTTGGTGTGCTGATTTTCCTATTATAAAAGGGTTTAAGGCCTGGAATCCTAACTCTCCAGGAGGCTGAGTCAGGAGGATGGTGTTTCAAAGCCAGCCTGGTCTGGGAAGTTCCTGGGATTCTTATTTCACATTGACCACTACAGAGATAGAAGTGGAACTGGGTTTCAAGTGGTAGATCGCCAGCCTTCAGGGTAAAAAGCTAAGGGACAGCACCCAAGCCCTGATAGGGCCTTTGTGCTCTGACTTCACAAAGCCACTGTGAGGGAACAACAGGCAAGGTGAATATGAGGACAAGGCCGGGCTCAATGTGTGTCCACTATAACAGAGAACTTCCCTGTTGTGTTGGGTGTGCGGTCGCTGGATTGATTAGGTTGGTTGGGTTAGGAGTGGACTTTTTGCTGTTCGTGTTACCATAGTATATTATTTCGATATATAATATCAAAATGGTTGAGGGTGGCTTGGGGAGATTTTTAGACAGAATTAGTTGGTTGGAGGGCTCACAGATAGGATGATCACCATAGAGGAGCTGGAGAAGGCACTGAAGGTCCTTGAGACCAGGGCCACCAAGGGGTCGGATCTGGTGGTGATAGGCCAATATAAAATTCTGGGGATTATTGGAGAGGGGAGTTTTGGTACTGTGCATTTGGCCCGACACATCCCCACAGAACAACTTGTGGCGGTCAAAATTTTAGAAAAAATTGATAACCCCTTATTAGATAGTGAAATCGACATCGCCAAGTCCCTGGATCATCCGTGTGTGGTGAGAACTTTTGAGGTGCTGGAGACCACTGACAAGGTGTTCCTGGTCATGGAGTATGTCCACGGACGGGACCTGCTTCACCACCTGCAGGAATCCAGGAGGATGAGGGAGGACGAGGCCCGGGCAGTTTTCCACCAGCTCCTCAGGGCAGTGCAACATTGTCATGAAAATGGCATTGCCCACAGGGATATTAAACTCGAGAATGTATTAATTGACCTATGCGGAAGGGTGAAGTTATGTGACTTTGGGCTGGGGACGAGGTTCACACCAGGACAGAAACTGGAAGTGCAATGTGGCAGCTTGCCCTTCTGGGCACCCGAGCAGTTCTTAGAGGAGGGCTATTATGGCGATAAAGTAGATGTATGGAGTCTGGGGGTGGTCCTGTACACCATGCTCATGGGCCAGTTCCCATTCCGAGGGAGGACCTGGAGCAGGTTGCAAGCGCAGGTGAGCAAGGGCAACTTCATACTGAGGAGATACCTCTCAGAGGAGAGCAAAAGCCTGCTGGCGCTGCTGCTCACGACGGATCCCGAGCACAGGCCCTCGCTGGCGCGGGTACTCCGGCACCCCTGGCTAAGGAACACACAAGCACACCTGCCACCGAGGCACACCCCCCTGTACCAGCCCGATCCTGATTTAATCAAGGTAATGACTTTTTGGGGTTTTAAGCCCAACCAAGTATGGGAAGCCCTGATGGGCCGAAGATTTGATGCGACCATGGCCACCTACTTAATAATTGCCGCACAAAGAGAGCAGAGGAGTGACCCCACTGGCCAGATGAGGCACCCGATTCCAGGACCTCCACCATGCCCCTCACCTGCAGGGGCCTGGATGTGCACCAACCTTAGGAAATCCACCAGTTTACCAACCAGGCACCCTGCTAGCTGCCTGCCTGCTGAGCTCCAGGCACAGAAGGATGGCATCAAGTGTACCACCTCCACCTCTACGCTCTGCCTCCTCTCTGCCCCCTGGATCCAGAGCCCCAAGGAGGAGGAGGAGGAGGAGGAGGGGTGCAACTCTTCTCCCCTGCAGCCAGCAGCAGCCAATTCTTCTAGCCCAGACACAGCCGCAACCCAGGATGATAGTCGGGGCTGGAGAAAAATAAAGGGAAGAATAATTAGAGTCCTGCAAGTGTGCTGCTGCTGTCTTCCCTTCTTGAAGAGAAGATCCGGCAGAGTCCATCCTGCGACAGGAGACGCCAGCACCACACACCTGCAGAGCATGTACGTGAGCACAGAGCTGGGCTCTGGGTTTTGTCTGATTTAATGAAGTCCTTCCCACCTGTCCAAACCTTGTCCATGGGTACTGGAGGTGGGGAGAGGGATCAGAGGGTCAGAGGGGGGAGAGGTGTCCATAAGGACAGATTTCAGGAGGGGAGGGTTCATGACCTGGATGTTGACTGACAACACTCAGAGGTATTATTGTCTTCTGAAGTTCAGACCTGTTTCCTTTGTCTTTCTTCCTGCAGTTGACTATCCCCCCCGCAAATCGAGAAGATACATGTAAATAAATTTGTTTCTTTTAACCAATTTTTGCTGCAGAGTCCATTTCATATATTCTATTTTTGGTCTTTCTGTGCTCCTGATTAAAACAGGAGTAGTCAGGATAGTGTGTAGTTCCATCCTAACTCTTGTCTGTCTTCCTAGCTATCCGGGAGACTTGAGTCCTGGAAGACTCAGAGCAACTCAGCTTCTGATGTACAAGGTCATTTGAGCTCCTACCAGCTTCAAGTAATGAAAAGTGCTTCTCAAAATTGTGAGGTATTGTCAGGTCAAATGCCCATCATTCTTGTCTTGGTACCTTTATACCTTTTCATTTTTCTTTCTTTTTGTAATTTTGAGCTCCAGGCACAGAAGGATGGCATCAAGTGTACCACCTCCACCTCTACACTCTGCCTCCTCTCTTTTTGTAATTTTGATTATAAAGGTGATGTACAGAGGAGTTACAGTTAAGTGAGTCAGGTAAAGAGTACATTTTTTCCCAGGCATTGACACCACTCCCCTCACTTTTTTTTCCCTAGGTTTCCTTCTTGTCCTCATCTACAAGATGCATAGTTCATTTGCAACATAGTGTCCGGTGAGTACCACTGCTGCATTTGTTCACCCTTTGTATGTTAGAAGGTGAAAATCAGCCTCATGGTTTGTAATCTAACTCCATGTCTTAAGGTTCTTGTAAAAGACTTAGTAACTCTGTCCGTTGACTGGCCAGTGTTCCTCTCAATTACATTATTTTACATCAGATGAATTCAAGTAAATCTTTAGTGTTCCTGGAACTAGAACAGTCCTAGGGATCAAATCTAGATGTGGATGTCAAAGGCCTGAAAACATAACTACTAGGGAGGCTGAGAAAACACTCATAGCCAGGGAAAGCAGAACAAGCGAAGATTCCTAAAGCCTACAACTGGCCAAAGGCACAAAAGAGGAGATGTGGGTCAAATGGTTAGAGCCAGTCTGTACCAGAGCACAATACCCTGAGTTGAAGCTCAGTAGCAGCAAAAACAGAACCCAACCATCTACCATCACTGAGCTACCTCCTCAGTCCATTCTGAAAATAAGGTCTTCAGAAACTTGTTCCAACAGCACACTTCAAGAAGACATTAACTGAGAAGGTTATGCCATATTTAGGTCCTGACGCAGCCCAGCAGAGGTTCGGGAAGCCCTCATTGGCAGGTTCCAATGGGAGAATGGGAACTTACTACCACATCATCAGGAGGAGCATCAGGCAACACTTCCAGCCAGGTGAGGAACCCATTGCCTGGGCCTCTGCCCTGCCCCTCACCTATAGAAGTGTGGTCCTGGACCCCTATCAGAAAAACATCCAGTGTCCCCTTTAGGTATCCTGCCAGCTACCAATCAGCTGAGCGCGAATAGCATGAGGATGGCAGCAAATGTGCCACCTCCACCTCTATGCTCAGACCTCTCTGTGCCCCCTTCATCCAGGGCACTGAAGAAGAAGAAGAAAAGGCCCCAGCAGACAAAACTGTGGTCAAGCCAGTGGTTTGACCAACATCTCAACCCTGACCACATCAGAGTTTGAATAAAAATCAGGAGGAAGTTTATTCACCCACACTGAGGAAGAAGGTAGGCCAAGGGAGGATAAAGTCTGAACATTTGTTTTGCCAGATACTTAGCATAGTGAACTAGTGTCATTAAAATGGCATTGCCCACAGGGACATTATACTGGGAAATGTTTGGTTAGACATAAGGGGCAACGTAAAATTATGCGATTTTTCTTCTTGGTGTTGGCTTTGCACCTCAAGAAAACTTTGAAGTACAATGTGGCAGTTTGTCTGGGCCATCAAGTCTTTTTTGCAGGAGGGCTTCTACAGTAACACGGTGAAGCTGTAGCATCTTATTATATGCACCAGTAATGAGCCAGGTCAAATTCTGAGGGATGACCTGGAGCAGGCTCCATGCCCAAGAACCATTGGGCCCTTTATGGTAAGAGCACAGCTGTCGGAGGACAGTAAAAGCATGTTGGCCCTCCGGTTCATGGCAGACCCCAGGCCCAGGCCCTCACTAGGGAAGCTACCCAACATCCGTGATGCAAAAACACCAAGGCAATCCACCAACCACCCATACACCCCAGGACCAGCCACACCCTGATGTCATCAGAGTTATGGCTTTCAAAAAGGAGAAGGGTAGAAAGTAGAAGTGTTTGGGGAAACCCTGATATGTCAAAGGTCTCATGTTACCAAGGAAAGAACTGATTCACAAAAAGGGAGCAGGGGAGTGAACCCAAGGACTAAGTAAGGGGTCTGATTCCTAGACTTCTGTTGTGCCCCTCACCTCAGGGGCCTATGCCTCCAGTGCATTAAGAAATTCCATCTTCCCAACCAGGTATCCCACGCCAGCTTCCTGCCTGCTTCGCCTCTATGCTCTGCCTCTTCTCTACCCCCTGCATCTAGGGCCCAGAGGAGGAGGAGGACTGGAATCGGACACATCCAGAGCCAGCAGCAGAGAAACCTCTGGTCAAACTAGGATTTTGGCTAATGTCCCAACCCCTGACCCCATCAGAGTTTGGAGACACATGAAGAGGAGGATCATCAAAAGCCTAAGGGGCCTCAGCTGCTCCTGCTTTCCCTTTCCTTTCCCAAAGTGCACATCTCACAGGCAGGCAGGCCTAGGAGAGGAGAGGATAGAACTGAACCTCCTGGGACACATAGGTGAGCACAGAGCTAGATTCTGACTTACTGAGTGTGTTGGGGGTTGCTAGGTATAAGATGATCTCTATAGAGGACTTGGAGAAAGGCACTGCCACACACACACACACACACACACACACACACACACACACACACACACACACGGTGTTGCTCACAGGGGCATTATAAAACATTTTAATCAACAAATGAGGAAGGGCAAAGTTATGTGATTTGAGATTGGGGCGAGGTTCACACAAGGACAGAAACTGAGGATGCAATGTGGCAGTTGCCATTCTGGATGCCCGAGCAGTTCCTGCAGCAGAGTACTACGGAGATAAAGTGGACATATGGGCATCCTTTTGTATACCACGCTTAAGGGCCAGTTCCCATTCCAAGGGGAGGACCTGGAGCAGGCTGCAAGCCCAGGTGAACCTGCCAGTCACACCTGCCACCGAGCCACACCCCCCTTGCACCAGCCCGACCCTGATATAATCAGGGTCATGGTGTTTTGGGACTATAAGCCAGCGAAGGTGTAGGAAGCCCTAATGGGCTGAAGGTTTGATGCCACCATTGCAACAAACATGATATTAACTATCATAATGCACTGAGTGTGTGTGTGTGGGGGGTCTCTACCCAATTCTTGGACCTCCACCTTGCCCCTCACCTGCAGGGGCCTGTGCCTTCACCTATATAAGAAAAACAACCAACTTACCATCCAGGCACCCTGCCAGCTGCCTGCCCACTGAGCCTGAGGGGCAGAGAGGTGCCAGAAAGCGCCACCTCTGCCTCCCCCACTGCCCCTGGCATCCAGGGCACTGAGGAGAATGAGGATTAGGCCCCAGCAGAGAAAGCTGAGGTCAAGCCAGTGGTTGGGCCAACATATCAACCCCTGACCACATCAGAGTTTAGAGGAGAAAACAGGAAAAGGTGTGCTTACCCACATTCCTGAAATGGGTAGGATGAGGGATGATGAGGTCTGAGCATGTTTTTTTGTTTTTGCCACAATGAAGTACTGTCGTGAAAGTGGCATTGCCCACAAGCACATTAAACCTGAAAATGTTGGGTTAGACATAAAAGGCAAGGTGAGAGTATGTGAATTCATTCTTGGTGTTCGCTTTGCACCTGGAGAAAACCTTCAGGCACAATGCCACTGCTGAGCACAAGGGCAGAAGTACCATTCTGGGCCACTTGAGCATTTTCTGCAGCAGGAGGGCTACTGTGGTGACCAAGTGGACCCTCGGCATCTTATGATACACAATGTTAATCGGCCAGTTCTCATTTTGAGGGAGGACCTCGAACAGGCTCCAGGCCTAAGCTTGCAGGGCCCGCTTCAAGGTAAAGAACACAACCGTCGGGGGACAGTGAAGGCTTGCTGGTCTTCCTCCTCAGGATGGACCCTGAGCCCAGGCCCTCACTTCAGTAGGTACTCAACCGTGACCAAGGCACACCCACCACCCAGTCACTTAGCGCCATTAGAGTTACTGCTTATTGGGGCTAGAATCCAGAAGTCAGCAAAACCCTGATATCTCCAATGTTCATTGTCACGAAGGGAATGATCTAGTACTGACTCACAGAAAGGATTAGGGGAGTGGTCACAAGGGCCAGGTGAGGGGCCCAATTCCTGGACCTCTGCCATGCCCCTCATCGCCTGGGGTCTAGGCCTCCACTGGTATCAAAAGACACCATCTTGCCAACCAGGCATCCTGGAGATTTGCTCAGTCTTGTACACAAGCTGGTAAGATGAGAGAGAATGAGGCTAGGTAGTTGGTGGGTTTTTATTTCTGCCAGATAATTACTATGTACCACTGCTATTAAAGTGGCATTGCCCACAAGGACATTAAACCTGAAAATACTTTGTTAGGCATAAAAGACCAAGTAAAATTATGTGACTTTATTCTTGGTGCTCATCTTGCAACAAACAATGTTCAGTTTGCTCTTCTGCTCCATCTCCCCCAGCCATTTCTGCAGGAGGGCTACTATGGTGACAAAGTGGAGCCATAGAAACTTATTATACCCAAGATGAATGGGCCAGTTCCTGTTCCAAGTTCCTGTGCTCCAAGGCCAGGCACATAAGGGCCTGTTCAGAACACAGCTATTGGAGGACAGTGAAAACCTACTGGCC